CCTGCTGAAATTCCAGCGTGTGGGTAGCAGCATTCCTGTGTCTGGTGGAAGTCATCCTAGCGTGGGATGAGAAGATCCAGTAAAGAAAAGATAACGTTTTTCCTCTGATGCTGAGACAGTGGGAAATTTGAAACTTGAAAAGTTTCCTAACTGTCCTGCATCTTTAGAGAATTTTCTTTCATTTTATAGTTCCTTTGATCCCTTTCAGCTGATACCATGCTGTTTATTCACAGAAGAAAAACAGGTATGTAGCTATTAGTGAATAATCAAGAACAATCATTTATTTGCTCATGTTGATTTTCGTTTAGTAATTGTTTTATTTATCGTTTCAGGAACCTTTTCAGGTGAAAGTATCTTCGGAAGCACTTCTAATAATGGATTTGGTGAGTACTAGGTGTTTTTTTTAAATATTAGGATACATATTTATGTGCAGTGTGAGAAACTGAGAAATACAGGTTAACTTACTGCCATTCAGACCTAGAATCTAATACTGAATAAAAACCAAATAGCTTAAAATGCTTTTTTTTTTTTCCATTGTGTTTAGTTTTTGTAGGTGGCACATAGTTGCACTGACAAGAGTGTTAGCATGTATAACCCTCAAGGTCGTAGTGTAATTACTTGAAACTACACTAATCTGCATTGCCATTTTGAAATCTTCAGGGTTTGTTTCTAGTCCAGAAATGGATTTTGTGCTTACAAACCCTTTTTTATTTTTTAATATAGGACAGGTTGTATCAAAATGTCGAGTTGTTTTCCGGCACTTCACACGCTTCAGTTTCTGAAGATAATACTATTTTGTACATGGAAGTGTTATACTCACACGTGTATGTACTGTGCATTTGTATGTGTGTATTTGTATACATGCATATGTGCACACACACGTATATATAAACAAGCAAAAAATGATTTTTGTTCTAAGTTTTCCTTCTGAATCTCACTGAGAAGTAACTGAAATGGAATTATGAAGCAAATGTATCTTATTATCTGCAAATCTAAATAAGGAGAAACCATTCAATTTGATCTTTAACTGTTGTTTAATACAATTTCAGCATTCTCATGTGTCCATGGCAGAAGTAATAGGGTTGCTGGGTGGAAGGTACTCTGAAGATGATAGAGTTGTTGAAGTAAGTGTTTATCTTTTTACATTTTCTCTAATATATTAAAACTTATGTATAATATGAATAGATGTAAATGTTATTTCTTAAGGAGCAACTGCCTCATGCATATTAAAGCTGAAATTAATTACTGTAGTCTTGAAATTTTAGTTAATGCTTATATTCAAGTTTGGAGTTGTCAGCTCTTTCATGAGGAAGATCTGGTGTAGGAATAACTAAAATTCACTTAAATTTTAATGGATACATGCAAGAAGCCTCAGTCAATCTGGAGACTTCGTTTTTAACAGGTTTGTGCAGCAGAACCATGCAATAGCCTGAGCACAGGACTGCAGTGCGAGATGGACCCGGTGTCTCAAACTCAGGCCTCGGAAACATTGGCCGCCAGAGGATATAGTGTGATTGGATGGTATCATTCCCACCCAGCCTTTGATCCCAACCCCTCAATAAGAGATATTGACACCCAAGCTAAATATCAGGTATTTACAGATCTGTACATTTTAAAAACGGTAATTCCAAAGACAAGAATTCTTGTTAGTGTTAACAGCCTTGACGTACATTGTTATATTAATATATATTAATTCCAGTTTGTTCATAAAATTATTTATAGCTCTACAGAGCCCTTTTTGAGTGTTTTCTGACATACCAATTTTTTGTTTCAAAATGCTTTATGAAAAAAAATCATTTTTTTTCTTGTTTTTAGAGTTATTTCTCCAGGGGTGGCGCCATGTTCATTGGAATGATTATAAGTCCTTATAACCGAAATAATCCCCTTCCTTATTCTCAGATTACTTGCCTAGTCATTAGTGATGAGATCAGTTCTGATGGCTCTTACCGTGAGTACTTTGCCTTACTGTTTTCATTCTTCTTTGCCTTTTGGGCATTGAGGGTAAAAATGTTGCCTGCACTTGAAAAGTAGCAGTGTGTGTGTGTGTGTGTGTGTGTATCCATGTGGGTGAGGAGGACTGGGATAAAACTGGAATTTCACTTGCACAGTCATCCTGCAAGTGGCCCATGCTCTCACAGCCCAAATATGTAAGTGTAGAAACAGGATAGGATTCCCTGGAGTCTATGAAGTACAAAGGGGTTGGGGCAAGGATTGTCACTGCTGTTACATTTGAAATTCATTAAATAACTGAGAAACTGTTTCACATTATTGCTTAAACTTTGCTGCTACAGACTCTGACAGACCAGAAGGAAGTGTAATAGCAAAGGGTTGGCCACTAGAGCAGCTCGGAGGTGGATGAAAAAACAGCATAATTTGACTAACTTAGCTTTCAAAAGGTCAAAGGATCAAATTTATCAGCTGACCAGGAAAATTAAGATGTGAATTATTAAGCAAGTCTCAGAAACAGTGTGATGGGATGAATCCCAACTTAAGAAGAAACTTCTTTAAAATGTCACTAATCTTTCATGAAAACAGAGTGTTTTTTATTATTATTGGATAGTCTGGGAATACATGTGGGGAAGTGAATGTTTTGGAAGCACTAATCAAGTGTTTTGCTTATTGCCGTTGCCCTAAGTTTGAGACAGATTCACAGCATAATATGTGACTATGCTCTCTACCCCTTTTCTCTCCTCCCCACTCCTCCTGT